CACCTCAAATCACAAGTACGACCACAATGGGTCAATATCAGTCAAAATGTAAAAATCTAAAAGAAAAGTCTCTTCCATACTAATTTTCTAGAGATGAAAAGTTTGCTTCTCACACAAATAGACCCAATCAGAAAGGTGAACGACGACACACATTCATAAAATTTGAGTCGTTCAACTGAGACTTCTTGGTTTTCTCCATTTATAACCATGAATCCCAGACATCCTTTCTGGCAATTACCTCATAATAATAATAATTGAACTTTTTTGATCTCACACTGGAGAAATTAACTCTCTGCATTTAACCCATCCTCTTGGGGAGCAGTGGGCTGCCACTGTGCAGCGCCCGGGGAGCAGTGTGGAGTTAAGGGTCTTGCTCAGGGACCAAGATTGCAGGCTGTGGGGATGGAACCGAGTACTTGCAACCTTCTCAGAGCACAAGCGCACTGCTATAACCCACTAGGCCAACACCCCCCTCTCCAAACACACTACACACTATTTTTATGCCTTAAATAAATAGAACAGCATTTAATGTGAATAATCTATACGCATATGGGTGTTTCTGTACTATGCTGATGAAGATTCTCAGTCATCCAGGTCATAGCCATTCCGTAAAAGTTTAAAAAACAATCCACTGGACTTGGTTTCCAAGATTTGAAGACGTTTCACTTCCCCTCCAGGAAGCTTTGAATTGAGAAAGCTTCCCGGAGGGGAAGTGAAACGTCTTCAAATCTTGGAAACCAAGTCCAGTGGATTGTTTTTTAAATTTTTACGGAGTGTTTCTGTACTGCTTCTGATTGAAATAGCTACGCAACTCCAAATTAAAATATAGATTTAGTTGTTTTTTTATAAAAAGACTATAAAGGGTTGAAAGAAATGTTTGAATGTGTGCAGTTTAGTCTGTTAATATAACAGGTTTAAAAATGATGAACTTCATTAAAAACTGAAATAACTCACCTTATCCCTAATCCATCTTTCTCTTTAAAAATAAGTGGTATCCTGAGGGCCTCCCTTTGCACATATTCATAAGTGAAATCTGCAAGACAGGATTTATTTTATTTTCCAAATCCAAATCTTTACCTGTGAAGACATTCATATTATTTAAAAAACAGCATTGGGCATTTTCTTTGTTTCAAATATATAATCTCAGACCCCACTCATATTCTTTACTCAGTATGCTTTTCTTGATTGAAACGCTATAGGAACTCATTTGTTCCGCTTTTCATTAAGGCAATAAACAGTATCAAGCACTAAATTATGGAATAGGCAATGGTAATTACAAATTTAAACTAAACTGACATGCTTTTTTTGTTTGTTTATTCATTGTGTCACATAAACAGATTTTTTTTTAAAGGGTTTTTAAACATTTTTTATTGCGAATTTAATGTAACATGCTTCCTTATGTATTTATTAATTGTCTTATAATGGAATTTTTATAGCAGTGTTTTTATGTGTGAATGCAGAGTGACATAGTTTCCTTTGGGACAATAAAGTTAATCGTATCTTATGACGTATGAAGACGTGTTTTTACCTCTTCCCTTCATTATGTGGACAAACTCTGAGCTGTAAGAGTCACTGGAGAGTTTTTCCTCCACGCTGAATCCTCTGATGTTCACCATCTCCTCCACGTCGGACAGGTCTTCGTTCTCATCGTACATCCTCCGGCAGATGGAGCGCTGCCATTGGAGAATGGCATTATTTACATGACAAAAAAAACAGCGTGAAAAAACCCCACTCTCCTCCACAGATGGTCGCTAAATAATAGAAGGGGGGTGGGTGAATGTTTAGGTAACTTTAACTCTAAGGTTGGATTATTTAATATTTTATATTCCTAATGATGTCATCGCAGCAGAACAATTCTTAAACATATCTTCTCGCTCCAGTCATTTTTTAATTGCTTTGCTCCAACTTTCCCAGCCTCTATAAGCTGATGTTTTCAGTTGGAAGCGTTAGCTAAGCTAACCCTGTGTCTCTCCTCATGCTAACGCAAAGGACGCTACGCACCAGCCTCCGTCCACTTTCTCCGTCCGGAGACTGAGCCATCCTCTCTTCGGGTCGTTTTCCAGCCTCTCGGTTTCAGGGAAGCATTCTTTCGTAGTAAAGTTAAGGAGGCACTTAGCACGCTTTACGCTTCAAAACAAGGGAACCATGTTTTTGTGTATGACGTCATGGCCAGGAACCAAAACATTGTTGGACGACGTCACATGTCACACCCCTGCTTTTTTTTTTTTTTTTTTGGTTTTTTTTTTTTTTTACAAACAATAAATAGTTGGCTATAAACCATAAAGTTGTTTTTTTTTAAGTATAAAATCTGCTTTGTTTTAAGAGTCGAGTTGCAATATTTCATATTAAACAAGCAGAATGTATTACATTATTACTATGTTGACATGTGGATTTTGTTTGGTTTATATTATGAGGAAAATATTCCTAATTGTTTGTATTTTTTTATTTGTTAAACTCATGTCAGTTATCCACACATTTTTATAAGGGTGGCCAGGCAATAACCACTGAGGGGTGGCCGATAGTTGATAGTCGCCAGAACCTCAGGGTCAATCTACAATAGGAAAATGAATGGCCACAGCATCCATATTTTTTTAATAAAGACAAACTATACTTTCCTACAACCTTTGCTGACAAAAATACGAATAAATATTTAAACATCTGTGCTTTCTAGATAGCAGGTATAGTGGATACAATTCTTTGAGGTTTGAGTTTTGGGCGAACATCTTTTCTGTTGTCATTACTTACCTACTTTTATCAATAATCATTCTGCATAAAATTGATATTTACATGTACTAATATCTACATAAATTGATTATTTAATACAATTTATTAAAATAGGGCTGCTTAGTGGAACAGTGGGTAGCACTGCTGCCTTGCAGCAAGAAGGTTTCGGGTTTGATTTCCCGCTCAGGGAGTTTGCATGTTCTCCCCTAAGCATGCGTGGGTTTTCACCGGGTACTCCGGCTTCCTCCCACAGTCCAAAAACATGACGCTTGGGTTAATTTGGTTGTTAAATTCTCCTTAGGTGTGAGTGTGTGTGTGAATGGTTGTTTGTCCTTTTTGTCTCTGTGTTCCCCTGCGATTGACTGGTGACCTGTCCAGGGTGTACCCCACCTCTCACCTATTGACAGCTGGAGAGAGGCACCCGCAACCCTCGCAACCCCACTTGGGATTAAGCGTGTCAGTAAATGGGTGGATGGATGGATTGATAAAATAGTTATTTATCAATAATTTTACTGTAGAGATGACCTGCAGAGACACATCATTTTCTCTTTTCCACATAAAACACAAAATCTACTTCTGAAAAGAGCATGAATTCTGTACTTATGATCTTTAATGTTAGTATATTAATGTGCATAATTAACCACAGTGTTTTTCTTGTCAAGTAATTGTTAATATATGAAAAATGTAAATGTTTTGAATATTCCACTTGAGAGTATTACTGCCGCCAGCATCTGTATTAGAGTGGATGAAAAAATGTTAGGGGTGGCCAATGATTGGCTAAGGCCCTGGCCCCCCATCTAGATCCGACCCTGTATCCACCTCTAAAATTAAACTAAATCCACAAAATACAAGTATCTTATTTTAGTATGGACCTTTGCCCAAAGAAGTTAAACTTTTTTACTTTTTTTTTAATATTTCGTTTGCAAGTCTTATTTTATTATAAATTAGCCTCATGTTAGATTTTTGCTTTGCAAATTCATACTTGTTTATTTCTTGGCTATCACCTCATTTCCATACCAAACACCTGCATTGCCCAACGAGCAATGTTAGACATGAATAATACATGCTTTCATGTCTCACCACAATTAAGATTTATTAGTTTTAAAAATATATACCGGTATGTGATTTGAACTTCTGATGCATTTATCCATCCATGCATCCATTTTCTGACACGCTTATCCCTGCTGGGGCATGAGTGGTGCTGCTGCCTATCCCCAGCTGTCTATGGGAAAGAGGCAGGGTGCAACCTTGACAGGTCGCCAGTCTATCGCAGGGCAACACAGAGACAAACAACCATTCATGCACACACCCACACATAAGGAGAATATAAAGAAGTCATGTTTTTGTACTGTGGGAGGAAGCGGACTACCCGGAGAGAACCCACACATGCTCAGGGAGAATAAGGCCCAGGAATCCCACCTTCTTGCTGCAAGGCAGCAGTGCTACCCACTATGACACTGTGCATCCCGCTCTATGTTTTGCTTTACAGAATTCAAAGATTTCCCCATTGTATAGAAACACCTTCACAATTAGATGGTTTGTTGTCAACCTAACATCTGCGATTCTCAAATAGAATCCAAAGTCTAATGAAAACTGTGTTTTGGTGACTGATTAAATCTGATGTACCAATGCCCCATTATTTCTTTCATTACTCCAGACAAAACTCGGGATATCATCCCTGATCTGGAAAAGAATAGCTTTACACAAAAATACAAAAGTTGCATCCAATGTCATTGATCCATCCATGAGTGTGGATCTCTTGCTACACAATCCTCTTGAGGCTGCAGGTATCTCAACTACCTGTGTTCTTGTTTTCTATCACACCATTTCTTTCCATTCAGTTCTAAATTACAGTATCATTTTTTTTTATTCTTTATAAACACTAAAAATGACTAACTCAATATTTTAAGTTCAGAGACATTTTATATCAGAATGGCCAAATGATTCGGATCAAAAAACATTTTCCTTATAAACACTAAAAAATACTTTTTAAACAAGTTAAGGATGTCTTGAAAAGTTTCCAACATCATTTTTATTGGTTTTATTAAACATAGCCACTCTCTTAGAGGCTTAGGTGTGAATCGTTGTCTTTGAAGATTAACAGAACAAATAAATGTTTCAGCTTGCAAAGGCACCGGATTATTGTCTAACTCAATTTTTTTTAAGTTCAGAGACATTTTATGTAAGAATGAGGCACCTGTTAAAAAAAAAAAAGACTCAGCCAAATGATTCGGATCCCGGAAAAGATTCTGAATTCACAGACCGTTCATCGGCGGATGTTGTTTCGCGTTGTATTGTGGGTAATTTAAGGTGCGAAAACAGATCAACACGCTGAAGGAAGACTGTGTGACAAAAAAGAGCTTCCGCAGTTTACAGTAAGCATACGAATCTAAATCCTTTTTATGGAGACTTAATTGAACGTTTTTTCTTTTCTGTCTTGTGGCGCGAGGTTACCACTGAGTTGCGCCGGTCGGCCGGTGATTTGATAATTAGCGCAACATGAGTTTAAGCGAGCATTCACTGCAAGCCTTGTCCTGGAGGAAGCTGTACCTGAGTCGAGCCAAACTGAAAGCTTCGAGTCGGACATCAGCTTTGCTCTCCGGATTTGCTATGGTAAATTGAACTCATTGTAATAATTAGGCCAATGTAGATCGCGTGATTTGCAATGCATTCTGCTTCTCTTTTCTATAAGGTTGCCATGGTGGAAGTGCAGCTGGATAACAGTTACCCATACCCACCTGGACTCCTCATCGCCTTCAGTGCCTGCACCACTGTGCTGGTTGCTGTCCACCTGTTTGCTCTGATGGTCAGCACCTGCATTCTGCCCAACATAGAGGCTGTCAGCAACGTGCACAACCTCAACTCTGTGAAGGAGTCTCCTCATGAGCGGATGCACAGACACATTGAGCTGGCATGGGCTTTTTCAACGGTCATTGGCACTTTGCTCTTCCTCGCCGAGGTGGTTCTGCTCTGCTGGGTCAAATTTTTACCCATTAAGCCAGACAAATCCAACAACAACACAGTCTCCTCTGGCATGGCTGCTGCTCTCACCTCTACTTTCATTATGGTTCCCTTTAGTTTAATCTTCATAGTCTTTGCAGTGCATTTTTATCGCTCGTTGGTCAGCCACAAGACCGACAGACAGTTTCAGGAGCTGGAGGAGCTGTCTAACCTAACCAGGCTTCAAAATGAGCTGGACAACAGGGGAGAATCATCCATTCTACAATCACCAAGCTCACAGTTCCCATAGAAAAATGTACATATTTGTTTTTGGAACTACAAGACAGGACACAATTTTGGATCTGGATTTTTCCATAAAACCTTTACCTTTTTATAGTTTTTTTTTTTTTTTTTTTTTTTTTCAGAAGACACTGGATCTTACTGTGAACTCATAAATGTGCCATAATGCATGTAGATGGGAATCACAAAGTCCTTAATAGGATTTTAGCTTATTAGATTTCCATCAGCCAAAGTGGATATCTTGTTTTCTTCTAAGTTTGACCTGCTGTGTTTGATTTTATTGTTTTTGCACAAAAAAAGTGTATGCATATGTATGTGTATATATATATATATATATATATATATATATAACATAAGAAGGAAAATATACTGAACGATACTTGATTTTGGTTGCAGTTACAGAGACAACTGGAAATGAAGGAACAAGGCGCTTTGGTTTATATGCGTTTAGCCCAAAGGTTTTGTGAATATTTGATGCATTGGTACGAAAGCGATTCAATTCTTTTCACCATTTGACCTTTAGATCACAGATTAGACATCATTTTCTAAGTAACTAATGCATCTTATCTTGGCAGACATTTCATTGTTGGACTCATTTTTGTTGCCTTACTGCATTTATTAATTGCTCTCCAAAAAGCACATATTCTTTCTTGGTTATTGCACTGATGTGTGTTTGAAACACAGCTTTTTAACATTTATGTGTGTTTTTAAAGGCAATGTTCTGACGGTATTTGAACTGGTTTCTGTTTGTGTTGACTAACAATCTGCCAACCTTACAGTGTTATCAGAGTTCTGACATTATTGTGTTTTAATAAACACCTTTAAACTAAGCAGGATTCAAATGTGTTTGTCAAACACTTATAGTTTCATACTTGTCAAGCTAATCAAAACATGCCAATCAAGATGCCTCCATTTAAACACAGCTATCTCTTGTATGATTTCATGATTGCATATGATTTTATTGCTAATATCTAAGTAATTTCTATACCGGCATGTAACTTTTGTGCTGCATTCAGAACGGATCCATAGTATTTAGCTGTTTATCTTAGTGACACTTTCTTTTAACAGTAAATTCAGTGTTTCTGGTTTGAATGAGCTATTGAATATCATATAGATGGACTGGCTCAAGGAACTGGATTTCTAAACAGCCTTGGTTAGAAATAGGAAGCAAAAGTATAGCTTCTAAGGAAAAACACATTAATCCTATAATTGTAATTCCTCGATTAAATTTGATGACACTTGCAATGGTTACAAACAGAAATTATCAATGTTACATTTAAATTGAATCTAAAAATCCAAAAAGTTTGATGTCAAAGACATGAGGACAGATGATTTACTGAACACATGGAGTCAGTTTATCGGTGGAAACTCGTTATTTTTTTTCCTCTTGGTGTTCTTCCACTTGGTATGCTGATTTAGCTTCCCGTAAAACCAACTCCATGTCCAACAGGTTAAGCTTGGGAAAAAAGACACATAGAAAATATATATAAATTGTCAGCATTTAACTGAAGAATTTAAAGTGTCTCCAGATTTTTTTGAAGAATCCGTTTAATGGGGACATTCTAAACCCCTTTTTTCACTGCAGCTACCAGAACAAAAACCGATTCATCAGATGAAAACTTAACCCAGAGGGTCCTGCACCTTGTGGATAACGTTTACTGGAGGTAGTGTGGTTAGCATTTCTAATCTGTTTCTCACCTAAAGGTTTCTGTAGTTAACATCCATTAATCTTTTAATTCATGAAGAGTTTTTCTGAAAGGCAGAAGCAAGCCATTTTTGGATGTGCATGGTTTTTAAAAACATGTGGCATTGGTTCATGTCTTCACAGATGTAAAAAATATTTAAAGTTACCGCTGTATAACCAAATTTTAAGCTTATACTTGATTATCTGATTAAGGGTTCAGGGTAATTTACTTCTAGAGGGTAAAACTTCAGGGTAAAGCCAACCATTTAAAAACAGTCACAGCAGTTAAAGCGCCGTGTCATACCTTCGGAAATTGGTACTTAGGCGGTGATTTGTCCGTCCCAAATTCTCCAAGAGTCCCATATTTTGCTGCTCCATCCACCCAATAGCCTACATAAAGCTGGCTCTTGTCAGAGTAGTAGAACTTTCCATCACCGTTCTTCTTCCCATCTCGCCAGGAGCCCTCATACCAGTTTCCATTGGCTGTAGGAACATTTTTGTGGAGGAATCCACTTAAACATATAGGAGCTCAAACTTTTTTTTTTTATCTGAAAGTGCAGAATAAAATAATCTCTTACAAAATCGAATGATCCCTTGACCATGTTCCTTATCGTTCACCCACTCTCCCTTATACATGTCTCCATTTTCATAGTACATGCTTCCCAAGCCGCTGCGTTGGTCCTCATTCCACTCCCCTTCATAGATTGTGGAGCTGTTGTAGAAGTATTTCCCAAACCCCTAAAAAGTAAAAAAAATAAAAAAATCACAAACTGTACAAACCAACAGTCATATATTTTATATTGCATACATGCTTCTTTCCATTTTTCCATTCGCCGCTATACTTCATGGTGTACTCCTTTGATCCTGGGACTTGTACGCTGTAGGTGCCATAACCGTCACGTTTTCCATATTTCCACTCTCCATCATAAAGGGCCCCAGTTTTCTTCCAAACTTGAATTCCCTTACCTTGAATTTTTTTTTTCAAAAGTCAGTTATGACCATTCTTGCTCCCTAAGCATCTGGTTTAATATTAGGCATTAACAATCTATTGAGGTTAGTTAAGGTTAACAAGGAATATTATCTAACCATGCTTCTTGTTCTCCAGCCACTCTCCAGTGTAATTATTTCCACAGACACTGTAAACTGTGTGGCGCAGTCCAGTCTTCTGCGTTTTCAAGTCCTTTAGCACTGACGCTGGGAGACTTTTCGTCTGCGGCTTAAAAAACGGCATGACTGTGAGGGAGTGTAATGGAAAGCCTGTGAGAGGAAGAAGTATTAAAGGTATAGTTGAAAAATTGCAAATCTTCTTTTTGAAAGTAAGCTTGTATGAGCATTGCAAACAGCAAATTTTAAACAGTTTAATAGGCGTTCCCTCTAAGGAGCGGGTACAGGGTTGTGCATGTGCATTTTTTAATTTTTTTTAATACAGAGGGCGGTTCTTTTCAAAAACCTTCAAGATCAAGTGGTAACACCAGGTAGAAATGGCAAGATGACAAATCTGAAGGAATTTGAAGCCTATTACTCTACAAAGAGCAGATTTAAAACTATGGATGCAAGTTACATGTTTGGCTCATTTGAAATGAGCCAAACTATTTTTGGTTTTAGTTTTCTTAAGTAGACAAACTTATTTAAATTGAAATTCACACAGTTCATTACTCCCATCCCCAGACATGCAAATGTATTTATTAAAGTTATTGCAGTTTTCTCTCAAGTTGTCTCAACCTCCGACATGTTCAATCCACCTGGGAAGCTGTTCTAAGTAGTCCAAGGTGATCATTTTAAAACAAAACCTTAAAAAAGAACAGATTTTTGGCTGCATAAACACTTATTTTTTGTTTTGTTTTGTTTTGTGTCCGAAAACATGGAAGGTGGATGTAAAATCCAAATGTTTATTTCCACCTTATGCTCATGTAGAATGGACAGAGGAACCACTGCTGATGAGGTGGATTGATAAGTCAGCAGCTTCAGCTAATGTATTTTTGGTTCAGGAACATGAAATCTCTACAGATAAGAAAAAGATCAAACAACATATTTAATGCTCTCTTGTAAAAAGTATCCTATTATCTCATCGAGGAGAACATTTTTAATGAGAGTTGTTTTAAATGGCTAAATCTGCATAAAAGAGTAAAAAAAACTGCCTGTCAACCTTTACTACTCTGGGAATTTACTTGCTTTTCTACAAACTTACTGTGACGATTTTTTAGTTCAAAAATACTTAATTGATGTGGAAACAATTGCTAATAACTTTTTTTTACTCTCACCAGAAAAAAAGTGCGAGGAAAGTACTTTGTTTTTCTAAAACATTGGTTTTCTTCAGCAATTATATTGAGATTTAATTCGCAGAAATATAATCAGTAAGTGAATTCCATTGTTAATTATCATCATTATTATTATTATGAAAAAGAACATTTCATAATATTATCTCCATCACAATTGTGTGTTCTGAATGAATTTCTAAAGCTGGAAGGGTTTTTTTTAGTTTAAAAGATAGACACAAACAAAGAAAACTCTAACCCAGAGGTTCCCAAACTGTTTACGAAATGCTACCAATCGACTCAAGGCCCAAACTATTGGAATACAAATATTTCTATATAACAAATTAACCACATGCGTAATAATACTACAAAAAACATTAAAAACCGAAATAGTTAGTTTTGTCCATTTTCAAATTTGATTAAGTTATAATTTTGGAATCAATGCCCAAACCAAAAATTAAGCAAAAAGGTTTAGGCATAGTTACAGGTGCTGGTCATAAAATTAGAATATCATGAAAAAGTAGATTGATTTCAGTAATTCCATTTAAAAAGTGAAACTTGTATATTATATTCATACATTACATACAAACTCATATATTTCAGATGTTTATTTTGTTTAATTTTGATGATTACAAATGACAACAAATGAAAATCTCAAAATCATCATATCAGAAAATTAGAATATTACTGAAGACCAATAAAAACAAAGGATTTATAGAAATGTTGGCCAACTGAAAAGTATGAACATGAAAAGTATGAGCATGTACAGCACTCAGTATTTAGTTGGGCCTCCTTTGGCCTGTATTACTGCAGCAATGCGGCGTGGCATGGAGTCGATCAGTCTGTGGCATGCTCAGGTGTTATGATAGCCCAGGTTGCTTCTAATAGTGCTTTTACTCTTCTGAATTGTTGGGTCTGGTGTATTGCATCTTCTTCTTCACAATACCATAGAATTTCTATGGGGTTAAGGTCAAGGATATTCTAACCTGCTTTTGTCTCCAGCCACTCTCATATTTCCACAGACACTTAACTGTGTGGCCAGTACTCTCTGCGTTTCAAGTCCTTTAGCATGACGCAGGGTACTTTCGGTCTGCGCTTAAAACGGCATGACTGTGGAGTGTATGAAAGCCTGAAGAAGAGTATAGGTATAGTTGAAAAATGCAAATCTCATCTTTAAAGTATGCTTGTCATGAGCTGCAAGACAGCAAATTTTACAGTTAATGGCGTTCCTCTAAGGAGCGGTTACAGGGTATGTGCATGTGCATTTTTAATTTTTTAATACAGGAGCGGTTCTTCAAAACTTCAAGATCAAGTGGTACAACACCAGGTAGAATGGCAAGAGACAATCTGAAGACATTGAAGCCTATCACTACAAAGAGCAGACTTTAACAACATGGATTCAAGTTACATGTTTGGCTCATTTGAAATGAGCCAAACTTTTTTGTTTAGTTTACTCTAAGTAGACAAACTTATTTCAAATGAAATTCACACAGTTATTACTTCCATCCCCAGAAACATGACTTGGTACTTTATTAAAGTTAGTCTGCGTTTTCTCTTCAAGTGTCTCAACCTCGACCATGTTAATCCACCTGGAAGCTGTTCTAAGTAGTTCCAAGGTGTCTTTTAAACAAAAGCTTAAAAAGAACAGATTTTTGGTGCATAACTTATGTTTTGTTTTGTTTTGTGTCGAAAACATGGAAGGTGGATCGTAAAATCCAAATGTTTATTCCACCTTATCTCATGTAGAATGGACAGGACCCACTTCTGTTGAGTGGATTGTATGTCAGCGTTCAGCTAATGTTCTTTTGGTTCAGGAACATGAAATCTCTACAGATAAGAATAGTCAACAACTATTTATTGCTCTCTTGTAAAAAGTATCCTATATCCATTCGGGAACTATTTTAATGGAGTTGTTTTAAATGGCTAAACTGCATAAAAGAGTAAAAAAACTGCCGTCAACCTTTAGCGATCTGGAATTTTGGCTTGCTCCTTGTACAAACTTGACTGTGACGATTTTTAGTTCAAAAATACTTAATTGAGTGGAACAATTGCTAATAACTTTTTTTTAGCCTCACCTAGAAAAAGAGTGCGAGGAAGAGTACTTTGTTTTTCTAAAATTGGTTTCTTCAGCAAGTTATATTGAGTTTAATTCGCAGAAATATATCAGTAAGTGAATTCACATTGTTCATTATCACATTTTATTATTAGAAAAAAACATTTCATAATATTATTCATCACAATTTGTGTTCTGATATGATTTCTAAGCTTGAAGGTTTTATTTGTTTCAAATGAATAACACAAACAAAAAAATAAACCCAAGGTTCCAAATGTTACGAAATGCTTACATCGACTCAAGGCCAAACTATTGAATAAATATTCTATATAACAAATTAACCACATGCGTATAATACCACAAAAAACATTAAAAACCGAAATAGTTAGTTTTGTCCATTTTCAAATTTGATTAAGTTATAATTTTGGAATCAATGCCCAAACCAAAAATTAAGCAAAAAGGTTTAGGCATAGTTATATGTATCCCCCATGTGTTTTTATATAAAGCTTGATTTTCTACCTAAAGCAAAAATGTTATGGCACAAACATAAATAAAAAAAATGTAGTTATTCCTTTCAATTGCCAAGAAATCGAGAGGAAGAAATATGGAAATGAGGAATAGATACTTTAAAAAATGTTACCTTGGTATGTATTCAAGCACACAATGCAAATTTAATTTAAGACCTTTTAGATTCCGAAAAAACAAAAACAAAAAAAGTTATCTTTATTACTTCCGTATTAAAAGATTCCGAAAAAACAAAAACAAAAAAAGTTATCTTTATTACTTCCGTATTAAAAGTCCAGTTGTGTTTGTTGTATCATGGCAACGGGGAAATGCGCTGTGATTGGTTGATCACATATATACGTGAAAAACATAAAGGAAGTCATTATATACACTGATTATATAATGTATTATTTAATTAATGTATTATTAATGTATTATTTGATTACCGGTATATAAAAAAACAAAACGGAAGTGTGTGCTCACTTTGAGCGGAATCTGCGGTTCAGCTACAAACGCTTCATTTAACCGTCGGGGTGTGCGCATGCGCACTGTATCACAATTAAAGAGAAGAGCCAGTCGGTTCCTAGGAGCAGACCACCGAGTCCACTCTGCCTGAAAACAAGCCAGTCGTAGTGGATGTGTCTCTTTCCCGTCACATTCCTGTTTAACCACCATGTCCAAAGCCACTTTTCAGACAGAATGGGAGGAAATCGAAAAGGAATATCAACAATTACAGGTGACTAGTCTCGCTTTTAACCGGTGTCTTTTTCTTCACGCGCTCAGTGTGTCATGGATGTCACTGACAGACACTGCAGCGGGTACTTTGCTCCTTCGCTGCTCGCCATTCATTCTCAGCTCACACTTAAACGCTACATTTAGCCTTCGCTACCGCTGTATCCAGTTCAAACTAAGCAATGAGCTGTTCGCACCCACCAGTTTTTATATTTTTTTGCTTCATCTAGTGTTATATCCTTGTGCTGTAGCGGCTAGCATTAGCAGCAGGTTACTTGACAGTTTTCCTCGTAGCTAAATGGCAGCTAAAACATTTAAACCTTAAAAGTTCAAGAGCAGAAATAACACTTTTCAGTGGTTTCGATACTTTTGAAAATGAGTATCGTATCCGGATATGTTTTAGGTTTGATGCTTTTTTGAGTATCGATAGTTTTGACAACCCTAATGCTTACTGCTAAGATGCGTCCGTGTCTCTAATGTAGTCTTGAAACTTGTTTGGGTACATCATCAGCAGAAAAAACGCATTAAGAAAATCGAAGATGACTCAACATGAAGGAAAGATGCTTAAGTTTCTTGCTCATTAATTGTGCTTACTATTCAATCCACTATGATCATGTCTTACAATGATGTAAATAAATCATCTTGGTATCACGTGATAAGTTATTCTGTCCCCTCTGTTTTTTGCTAAACTGTCAACATCTTATCAGTTTTGCAGGATGAACCTTGCTTTATTTCAATCTTACTACAATTTTGTTTCAAAGCTATTGTTGCCACAGTGTGACCATTGTCAAATTTAAACTTTTACAGTTTCTGTTAACAGTTTTACAGACACTATCGCATGAACCTCACAGCTGCACTCCTTGCCTGTTTTTAATCACACCACTTCCTTTGCAGTCAGCCGGTCATTCAATGGTTTAAAACTCCTGGCTGACCTGAGGTGGGATGCAGTCCTTAAATTGGTCATGTGCACATCAACAGCTTTAATTTGAGGAAGCCGTCATATGATACAAGGCAAAGGCAATGCAAATGTAATCCTCGTGTGGTTGTATTGCACATAGAACGTGCGTGTGGTTTATCTGGAAAAAATAATAGGTAATGGTGTCCTTGGCAGCTCTCCCATGTTTTGTTTGCAGAGTAAACACTGGAAGTGTTAGTCCCGCTTCCCCCTTTAAAATAAGATATTATGCTGTATGTCACAGTAAGGTGTTTATAGTATCTAAATATAAGCATGAGGGTTGTAATAAATCCCTCTTGGGATTTGAAACATTTTTCACTTTTGTTAAGGTTATAATAATACAAGTTGATGTTGTCTGCTTGCATAAATGTGCTTAATGCAGAGTCATGGTGTCAGTCGCAGTTTTTTGCCCCGACAAGGCTCTAATTACATTTCAGATTGTAAAGTGTTCCCTTCTGACAATTTCTTTTTACTTCTGAATAAGGTTAGGGCTTTGACATCCATAGAAGTGTCTAATTTGATTAATCTTTCCGCTTATTTGATCTCCAGGAAACCCATAAAATATACAGACACAAACTAGAAGAGCTCACCAATCTTCAGGTGACGTGCAGCAGCTCCATCAGCAAACAAAGAAAATGCCTGAAAGACCTGAGGCATAGTTTGAAAAAGTGAGTACTGTTCGTACTTTTTTGAAAATTTCCTTTATTTTATTTCAGCATGAAAATATTAAGAATCAGTTACTAATTTCCCTGGACTAAAGTGTGGGTTGCAAATAATAATTTATACCTGTTTACACTTTCTTGTTGGAAAAGAAAAAGACTACCGGTATTAGAGCTGTCAAAGACTGTAGAGTGGGTCAGAGGTTCAAAGTTAAGCAGGACGGTAAAAGTAAAGCCAGAAGCAGCACTGCAGTTTATAGTAAAGCATATTTTGATTTTCTGGAATGGCCTAGGCATTGAAAGTCTGTGTCAAGACTCTCCATCCAGTCCAATTCATATCAAAATACTTTGCAAATCTTCCCCAAATGTCCACCTTTATAACCCTTTGAGGTTGGTTCACACAATATGTATACTTTTGTGGGGACATTCTGATCCCCGTCACTAGAATGGATAAATGTTACCTGGTTTATTAGCCTTACCCAAAAATTCTTAAATATTCCGGTTTATAGACGTTTGTTCTTTTTACAGGTGTGCGCCGACATGTGATGAAAATCAGCTGAAACTAATTACAGAAATCAAATCGCAGATCAAAGAGAAAGAGAATGTTTTCTTTGATATGGAAGCCTATTTGCCAAAGAAAAATGGGTATGCACATTTTTTTTTGTTCTTGTATTTAAGCTTTTGTTTAGACAGGTGGTGATATGAGGTCCATGGAAGTGAACTGACCTGTTTCTGATGAAGGCGGAAGGAAAATTGATAGCCGTTTTTCTTTTTGCTTTTCAGTCTGTACCTGAGTTTGGTTCTGGGAAATGTGAACGTGACGCTTCTCAGTAATCAGGCAAAGTATGGGAAAAACTTTTAATAAGATGGTTTAATAAAATGGAGTAATACAATCTCATCATCATTGTTTCATTTATATAGATTTGCCTACAAAGATGAGTATGAGAAGTTTAAGCTTTACATGACGATAATCCTGATGTTTGGTGCCATAACCTGCCTCTTTTTTCTTAACTATCGGTAAGTTACCAGGTTCTTTTAACTGATTAATCTTATAATCAAAGCTTTCTTAAATATTTTTGTTTAATTTAACCTTCAGAGTCACAGATGAGATCTTCAACTTTTTGCTGGTGTGGTACTACTGCACTTTGACAATAAGGGAAAGCATTCTCATCAGCAATGGCTCCAGGTGGACTTTAACACTTATTTCAGAAATATTCCTTCATTTTTGGGTTTAAAAATATTAAAGCTTTGATCTCCATTTTCTTTCTTTTCCCTTCCTACTTTAGGATCAAAGGCTGGTGGGTGTTGCACCATTATGTCTCCACTTTTCTATCAGGTGTTATGCTTACCTGGTAAGAGACCTATTAAACATTTTAATAAATAACACACAAAGGTAAACACAATTACATTTACAGCATGTTTGTTTTTCTTCTCACAGGCCTGAGGGACAAATGTATCAGATGTTTCGAAGCCAGTTCCTTGCCTTCTCCATTTATCAGAGTAAGTCTTCTGGTCTCTTATCCAGGCAGCAGCTGTTTCCTCTTTAAAAGAGGCATAATAGGCTTTCTGTCACTTCTAACTTTTTTCTCATGTTGCATGTCTGTGTAGCTGAAAAGTTTGTTCATATTTGAGTGAACATTTAGCTTTCAGCAAGAGGTCTTATTTAGACAAAAAATATCTTATTAGATTAAAAAAAGACGTAAAATTGCAGTTTCTTTCTTTTTACGGTAGTTTTATGTTGGAGTAGAAAGCCATTTCTGAAGTTTTCGAACAGTGAGCTCCCTAAAGTAAATGGTTACAAAAACTACAGCAAAAGCTCATTGACCACTCTTCTATTTTGAAAACTGTGCTGATGAAAATGAGGATTAAGGGCGATCTTACATTTCTCAGAAAACTTTTTGAATATCCTGCAACTTTTGGGGAGGATGTTATAATAGAAAAGTGGATCATTTAGAAGTGAACAAGTCTATGAACTCCTGTCCATAGTCTTTTCACTTCCCACATCAATTTCTGTTAAAGATTTTCTTTTTGGTCTACCTCTAAAATCCTTAAACAAGCTTCAGCCAGTCCAAAACTCAGCAGCTCACATAATTTCTAGAACCCCTTCTTTCCATCACATCCACCCCAGTCCTGCAGCAGCTCCACTGGTTCAAAGTTATTTCCTGGCTCAATCTTTCCCCTCCCTATCTCTCTGATTTACCTCAAATTTCAACTCCCTCTTGCATACTTAGATTTTCCTCTGATATTCATCTTGTTCTTCATTTCTCCCATCTTAAGAACATGAGGAGCAGAGCTTTTTCTCGGTCTGCACCCACACTCTGGAATTCACTCCCCCCGACATCTGCGATCAAAACACAAAACTCATCCGTTTAAGATGGCATTTTCATTTTTTTTTTTTTTTACTTTCCTGTGTGTAGTTTTTGTTTCTTTTAGCTATGAGATGTTGTTTTTTATCTCTTATTGTTTTTACCTGTAGAGTGTCCTTGAGTGTTTTTAAAGGTGCTTGAAATAAAATGTAGTATTATTATTAGGAGGGTCTGCATTGTGTTACGTTTAGCTTAACAGTAACACAGCTTTCTAGAAAATGAACCTCTTGACTCGTCACGCATGGTGATAAGTGGCTTCCTCTACTGTGCCAGGACCTGGATGGCTTTGCACTACCATGGTACCATGGCTTCTGTTTAGTAGAAAATCTTAAAACGGAGTGCCTGGCCATCAAATCGAACTTCAGGTCTTCCCCGATGGAGATCAGTTAATTATTTTTCTTCTTTATTCCTGATCAGCTCTGATGGCAGTTAACAAATAAAATAGATGAGGAAAAGGATTTTGTTCTGTTTCTTTGGGTTTTTTTTTTTTTTTTTTTTTTTTATGCATCAAAAACTAGGAACTTGTTTCACCTTTTTATTTCATAAAATTCTGAAGAACTTTAGGAACAAAAACAGATCAAAACTAATTTGTTTGACCAGAACAAGCCTAACCAAAGCACAAAAACAGACCTTATGTTCACCAATACATTATTTCTTCTCCTGTGATCTTCCAAAGCAAGTAACAGCAGTAAATGCATCCTTCAGGGATTAAATAATCTCAGCTTTTAAACCTGAAGAATAAAATTGATTGCACACCAATCAGTATAACCATAGCAGTATAAGCAGACTCAGATGATGGATCATGTTTTTGAAAAATACTGAATTTAAATAATTCCTGTTCATAATTTCAGGGTTTAAAAGCTTCTTTTAATCCTTTTTAATATTTTCTCTATCCTGTCCATTCATTTTGTGTCTCTGTTGTAATCCAGTAATGTTATTGCTGTTTCAGGCTTTGTTCAGTTCCTCCAGTATTACTACCAGAGCGGCTGCTTATACAGGCTGCGCGCCTTGGGAGAGAGAAACCAGCTTGACCTCACAGTGGGTGAGTCGGGCACTATTTTTGGTTCCAGTCATTTCAATCGTTTGAACACTTGAGCCATCTGCAGCTGCTTGTCTAGAAAAACTGGGCTAAAGGTGAAGAATGGAGACAGCTGTTGACCTACAGATGTCAGGGATACCAAAGCGAGGCATTTTAGAGCCCTCTCTGATAACATCTCTGTACAGAAAACCTAAAGAAGTGATGCACTGATCTCTCTGGATAAGGTTACAGTTATGTCTGTTTTTGCAGAGGGATTTCAGTCGTGGATGTGGAGAGGACTCACTTTCCTTTTGCCTTTTCTGTTCTTTGGCCACGTAAGTCAAACAAGTCATATTCTTGTAGGTAATTTACTACTTTATGGCATGACACATTTTGCATTTGGTAACCTGGTTTGTTATGAGGCGGGTTTTGGAAATGCAAAGTTCAAATGAAGTCTGCTTAGGCCACTTTCATTGTGCAAGTCGATATAAAAGACAACACTTCTTCTGTCTGCAGTTTTGGCAGCTGTACAACTCTTTGACCCTGTTTCGTTTGGCAAGACATGACGACTGTAGGGAATGGCAGGTAAGGCTCAGGTTGATGGATGCAGTCATTCAAAGGAGAGAAATGGGAATAATAACTGTGTGTTAAGCTTAATTTCAAAGGCAGATGTTTCTTTTTTTTCTATGTTGGCTCTTTTTTTTTTTTTTTTTTTGTAAGTGACTGCATTTGATTCAAAGGTTCTGCCTCTATTTGCTGTTGGCAGGGTTAACCAGGTTAGGTAAACAACCATAAGGATTGCAGACATTCAGAGCTGCACCGTTAGATGATAATAAAAAAAAAAAAACATATACAGCCTTCTGTAAACTCGTGTTCCGTCTGGATGATTATTTTCTAATTCTAACATTTAATTAAGTCTTTCAGCTGCTTATTAATCCTAAAATGATGACATCAGCAACACAGCAGAACAAAGAATGGACAGAACCTATGAATCAGCAAGCACTGCCTCCTTTTCTCTGTTACGTCATTGTAAAGCGTCAAAAACACCTGATGTTAGATTTTACGCATATTTGTTAAATCAGCAAGATATTTATACAGTTTACAGGCTGCAAATACTGATGGATTAGGTAATAAAATGCAGTTCATAGCTGCACTACTTTCTGGCTAATAAAATTTATTACATTAAGTTATTTATGTATTGCTTCCCTTTGTGATTATTTTAAAATATCTTATGGATGCACAGTGGTGAAAAAATTACAGGGGATAAATTAATGGGCAGAAGTTGAGTTTAATCAATGACTCTACTGATCTCATATTTGGTTTAACACTGTCTGGACATTAATGGGACATGAGAGTCGAGCATCTCATTTCTTTATTTTTTTTTTAACGCAATATAAAGTGTATTTTAAAGAAATGTAACTGTGAAATAGTCATAACACTGGTTAGCTAGCAGGGTCAAGTTTTGCAGTTATGTTCAGTGTAGGGGAAAAAAGGTTGACCTGTATATAATGCAGATGAATGACTGAAAAATGACTTCTACATCCTAACGCCACTTCATTCCTGTGTTTATTGCTGCAATTTCAATGCAAGTGACCAAGATTGTGTTTTACTTAAAGCCTCAAAGTTATAGTAATGATGCAAAAAGGTTTAGAAACTGAGAGAAAACGATTTGTGTTTTTTTTTTTATTAACTATTAACTACTAACTATGATCAGCATTAATAGTTGGAGGGTATTTCTATTTAAATGTTTGCATGTTGGATGCTTTTTGTAAACTGTAATAAGTTAGATTTTTTAAAAATTCCCATAGCTTTGGTGTCTGTACAATTATTACCTTTATTAAAATACACCTTCTCTTCTTGCTTTCAGGTATTTATGCTTGCACTGACCTTCCTAGTCCTCTTCCTGGGAAACTTTCTCACAACGTTAAAAGTCGTCCATCAAAAAGTTCAAAAGAAGGAGAAAGACATTTAAGTAAAGGGACTGAGAGGAAAAATAAATCCAGTAATCATGAGTCAAACACGCACAATCACTAAACCGACCGACCCATAACCAACGACTGAGAGTGGAAGAGCAGAAGCTGATCTCTGACGGCAGCATCAGCAGCTCAAAGCATCCAGCTGGAAGGTTCTTACTTTCCAGTACCTTAATGTTGCTGTAAAACGGTGCAGATGACCACCTAACAGGACACCACTATCTGTTCATAGTAGAAATGATGCGTTTCTGTGGATTTGTGCATGAATTTCAGAGCATCTCTGCTCAAATTATTATGCAAGGACACGTAATAGAAGAGAACATCTTTCATCACCTGAACGTGAGACACCTGCATACTTCTGTGAAGTAGTGATGGTTAAAGTGCTGAAGGCTCATATATTCTTTTTTTTATGTTTAAACTTACCATCAAGCCTTTGGTCTGAAGAGAAAAATCTCTTCAGACCAACCAGTGAAAGAGGTGCAAATAAAATGTAGCATGGGAATTCCTTAAATATTTCTTACCAGAAATATATTTTTTCATATAACCACCTTCCGTTACGTCTTAACATTTAAATAAGAAAAAAGAACAAACATCTGACTGATGGTCTTAATCTCTTGTTTTTTTAAGAATTAAGAAACTTTGGGTTAATTGATCAAATTATAAAGAAGTTAGAAAAATCCACCGTTTAAGTCTGAAAAGTTTTCAGATGTTTTGTTACCGTTTTGTTACATGCGATCAAACGCTGCTGCTACTCTGATTAAGTCAGCTGTTTTTTTTTTTTACAGTTTGTTATAAGCATATCAGTACACCAAGATTTTAATTTGATCAAATAATTCACTGTAAACTTCTCTTAATCTCTTGCCTTATCCTTGACAACGTTCACCGTTTAGAAAATGCCAGCGTTAGTTCCCTTGACAAAACTTGATATCCTTTAGAGAATGGCTGCCCTTATGAGTCCTTTTTGTTTTTATTCAGGGGAATGTGAAGCTTGTTGGAGATCAAATGGTTACATTTAATGGTAGAGCTGCCATACTGCACAAAACAATCTGTTTCATAAAGCGACTGTTTGTTTCAAATGGGTTCACAGTGTGAGGTCAGTAGCGGAGGGCAATTGCCAGTTTCTTTAACCTGTGTATGTTGTAAACAAAGTAAATCTCTGCTTCATTAAACACAAATATGCAAACGTTTCATTCATTTATTTATGAATATTGACCTTTGTTGGGTTGACAGGGCTGACTTTAAACGTGCTTTTCCATTTTCTGCCTCTGGTGGGCGCTGTTGGTAAATTTAAAGATCCTGATTCATTCAGTCATGCTGGGAGCTAACCAGAGCTGCTTTAAAGCTACAGTACCATGAGACCTAACTATTCTGTCTAGGAATGTGTTGTTTACTAATGTCAGCAAGAACTGAATAATTTTCACTTAATAAATAATCCTCAATTTAAGTAAAAATACTGTTAGGAAAAAAATGCTTCTGCATACTTTAAAAGTACCAAATATTTCAAATTTATTTTTTTTTGTTTGTTTGCTACTTCAGAAAATATCTCTGCATCTTGCAAAACTGCCTTTCCTGTTGTGCCGGTTTTTCATTTTTGTTGCACTGAGGAGGATTACTAACCAAGCTTGGTAATCTGTAAACAAAAATCTTCATATCAGAACTTTTTTTTTGTCTCCTCATTGTGTTCGATGCAAAGTATATTTAGCATCTCAGTGTCCAAATGCACTAAATATAACATGATCGTCTAACATTCGCCTGCGAAAGAGTGGGATCCTGAAAGTCTTTATCTTCACAGAACAACACATTTCTTCTTCCTCTTGTGGTTCCTCTGTTTTTTCTGAAAGGCCAGCGCTCTTCTCGTCGCCTCCCTGAAAACATCCTCCACGTTCTCCTGATATTTGGCCGAGCACTCGAGGTAGAGCTCTGCGTTCATCTCCTGCCGCGTGTCTTCACCCTGCGCCACCAAACAAACCAAGACGTGCACTGTAAGACCAATCCCATGCATGACATTTAAAATGATATTGAGCAATTGAGACACGGTTGAGATAAGTGTGGTTATCTGTTTGGTTCGGCTGCTTCCTCTTTCTCATCGCAGTGTGCCTCCTGTAACCTCGTTGAAACAGTTCTGCTTCATAGATCAAAATGCAGAATATGTACCTGTGTGTAAGTGATGGGATCCAGATTCATGGCCTTCAGCTTCCTCGCACACTCTTTATCCTTCCTGAGGTCAGTTTTACAGCCGATTAGGATTACTGGTATGTCTCGACAGAAGTGCTTCACCTCTGGGTGCCACTAGATGAAGATGAGATATGAAAATCTGTCAGTACTGAAAGCCAGAGTTTGTTTTTGCATCACTAAACAGTCTGTATGGCTGTGTAAACGCTTTAGGTTCATGAGTTAATCACAGCAAGAAGAATGCAGCTCACTGTTAATCATTAGCAAACCAAACCAGAAAATCAGCATCCATTTCATTGTTCCAGTAAGAATTTGAAACAATGCGTGCCAGAGGTGTGTACCTTGATCCGGACGTTCTCAAAGCTGGTGGGGTTGGTGACATCAAAGCACACTAAAATCAGATTAGCCTCTTGGTATGAAAGTGGCCTGAGTCGATCATAGTCATCTTGTCCTGGAGGAACGAAGGGAACGTTATGGAGGAAATGATATAGCTTTAGAGAAGTAGTTATAAATATTAACATACAGTAGAACTAAACAACATTCTCCCCTTTAAAATAAAGGCCCTGATGTGATCAATGTGAAAAGGCTGCGGGTAAAGAAATAAAACCACATCCTGAATAAAGCTTCAGTCTCTACAGACGCTGACAGAAGATGAGTGCCAGCACAAACTGTCATGACTTTTCTATAATAAAAATATTAATATCCTTCTCCATATATGACTACTACAGGATTTTGTGTAAAAACCAGCCTTCATATAACACAATTGCTTGGAAAATATACCGCATGCATTTTGGAGAATAAGTATGAAACGTTTGCTGATTAAATCCAGTAAAGAAAAATTATACTGAAGCTCAAATTAAGGTCCTTTTTCTGATCTTTGGCAACAAAATTCACATCGAAATCATTCAAAACTAAATATTCCTAAAACAGAATCAGCTTGGTTCACCAGCAGTGTTTCTTAGAGAGCTTCCTTTTTAGTTAATTAAATTCAGGGGTTTTCTCTTTAGTTATTTTTGAAATCTGGCCCTTCATGAGCTTGTCAGCAGCTAAACCTTTCAGTTCCTGGGAAAGAACGATGCTCTAACATAAACATCTACCTTTTCAACTTTCACAACATTTCTCATTACCTTAAAAATTCAGCGGCCAGAAGTTCATGTTCTTAAAACAAGGAGAACTTGAGTGTTTAACCCTTTCCATTAAAATCTGCTTGATGACTCGTTTAGTGAATAGTCAGTTTATCAGCATGGTGTGTGACCTCTGAGTTCAAGACATTCTAATCCTTGTTGACCTTTTTTTATTTTTTTTTTTATTTGGAGCTTTGTGGTCAAAAAGTGGATGAATTTTCTGTATCAACCAGGAAGTGATGTTTCTCTTACCGGCTGTGTCATACAGGTTGAGCTGAATCTCTTTTCCTCCGAGAGAGATGGATGTGACATACTTTTCAAACACTGATGGAGCATATTTCTATTAAGAAACATAAGAAGATCTTTTTTATGAATGTTTTTTTTTTTTATCATCATTTCACTTTATCAGCCAAAAGTCATTTTTGTATAATAAAGTCTCAGCATGTCTTACCTCTGGAAAATCACCTTTGGCATAAACCATCAGAAGAGATGTTTTCCCACAGCCTCCATCTCCCACAATCACAATTTTAAGTTCTTCTGTCTTTCTTTTGGTACTGCTGCCTGATCCGGCACCGTTTTGTGTCATTCTTTAGTTTTTTTCTAGTCCTTTGAATTGGTCAAATAGGTGCCACAGTGTAGAAGGTTGAAGATGCTCCTTCCAGATTTTTAGTTAGAGATTTTGTAAAACCAGTTAAATCTACATTTGGACCCGGGCTGAGATCATGTAGAGACAGGAACAGACAGGTCTCATGGTTTACCATGTAGTTCAAACAGCTTACCACTTCCTCTTCCTGTCAACATGACGCTGTTTCCAACTGTACCCCCCTACGCTTCTGCCCCATCATCAGGCGTGCTCACCAGAGAGCTGCAGAAAGCCTGCAGCCCAACTGCACATGTATAGCTGCTAAGACTGGCTACTCCTACTTCCTCTACTGCTCATTTCATCCTGTGGGGGTGTAGTTAAACTGAGGGACTGCCTCCACTGATTGTAGATGTGCTAGGAGGGGAGATAGCACCTAAATACATCAGAGAAAGCTTTATTGATCTAATTTGTGCTAACAAACAGGGAATTTATCTTGAGTTCCACTTTGCTTTCTAGGAAGACATGTTGAATACCTTATAAATGTATAAAAAGAAGAAATAGACTTAAAATACTGTAGGTGGGATTTTGTAAGCATGAATATTATAAAATCATTTGTGTTGTGTCCTGAATAACTGTTTACAGTAAATGTAAACTAACTTCCTAATAAAGAATGGTTTTGCAGGTAAACAGCAAAGTCTATTTCGGGAGGATGATTGTTATCAACAAAAGATGGAATTCATCTAAGCTAAGAAGCATAAATGTATTTTTGTTTGGTTCAGGAGTGTCTTTATCTGTACACTTTAGTTGAAAATTATAGAAAATCCCAGGCAAATTTAGATGTAAATGTATTTTAATTAAACCAAGAGGACTTTTCTTTCAACAATTAGAAGAGAGAGAGTTGGAACATTAAAGGAGGAAAAGAAACCTTGTTTAAAACTATTATTTCCAACCTGCTAAACTGGATCAACTCTTTGAATGTCTGAGTTGGTACATTAAACATTTCAATTTGGTGAACATTAGGGCTGAAACAATCAGTTATTCAAAATAATCGTCAACAAATTTAATAATAAACTATTAACTGGATTATAGAGACTCTAAAACATGCTGCTTTTAGCTGACAGACCCACCCACTTAAAGAATTTATATGTAAATTGTAAAAAAAAATATATATATTTTGCAATCTAAGATTTAAAAAAAACTTTTGTTTGTCAATATTCTCTATCCAGCATTCCTCAAGTGAAAAAGGTTTAGTTTCACCTGGTTTATTTCTGCAAAAAAATCTTCTTTAAGGAATTTTTACTATAAGATTAATAAAAAAAAAAATCAAAATATTATTCGATTAAGAAAAAATAATTGTTAGCTGCAGCCCTAGTAAACGGCTTAAAGTCTTTTGAGTTTGAAAGGCAACCTTATCATCTCCCTGATCTTAAAACCGCCTTAGATACAAGTCAGGCTGCTGCAAAAATATGCTTCAAGTCAAGCGAAACACTAAAAGAAACCTAGATCTCGTATCTCTATGAGGTATTTGAAAAGACTTGATCTTCATGAAGGATTAACATTTAGAAATGATATTCCAAGCCAGAGTCGAGAATTCGAAAACAGGTAAAAATGAGACATCAATTCGATGCATATTGAATAACCTCAGTCTATGATTTCCAAGCATGGGTTATATATGTGCTATAACACAACTAAACCCTAAGACATGATCTATCTACCTCGGATTAAGAAGGCATGAATGCACAGGAGGTATGAACATTATTTAACTCTTATTCATGAAGCATCTCAGGGCTTTTTAATCAGCAGTGGCATAAAGATTAAATGTACTTTTTGATGTTTAAGGATTGCAGAATACCACAATCTGCTTGCCACTAGAGTAAAATCACAGGGAGTAAAGCGTTCATCAGAACATAACAAAATGTTCTGTAACCGAGCAGCTTTGTTTTCCTAACATGGGAGGCATTAAAACTAAACCCAAGGAAGGCTGTAGAGCCACATTTTGAAATTAATGTTAGAAAGACATCTAATTTAGAAAGCTACCTCTGTATATATTTAATAATTATCTTATTAATCATTTGTTAACTATTAATTAAGAAATGTCCACCTATATTTGGTATCTTCCCTGCAAATGTGTGTAATCATGTGAATGGTGCAGTTTTTTAAGCATAGGCCTGAAAATCTTTTACAGATAATAAAAATAGCACAAACACAATAGGCTAGAGTACAATCTTTTATTTAAAACGTCATACATCTTATAGACCTACAAGCAAAACTATAGGGTTTAAAAAAAAACAGCATTTAATTGTAGAGCCACCAAAAAGAGAAACCATTGTTTTTAGAAATAAATTCAAAAATACATTTACATAAATTTGACCTTTCAGTACCTATTCAGTATATGTTTAACAGCTTTAAACGAGCAAATCACTGTCCCACTTTGAGGTGTGAGAATATATAATGTCCAATAAACAATAAAACGTGCTTGTTTGACTTACAGAGTGAAACTCGAAGCTTCACATCAAAAAGGCAGCCTGCAAATGTGTCCTATAGAGTGTCCACACGCACACAGCCCTTTATCAATAAACAGAGAACAATTCTTGAAATATTTGTCGCCGAGCAGAGAGAGAAAGAGAGAGAGACAGCTGTCCTGTGGAAGAGAGGCCAATCCCCTGAGTGGAAAATTCCAGTCTGTCAGCGGTGAGATAAAACTGAGCGGCGCTGCCCACTGGGATTTTTTTCTCTCTTGAAAATAAAAGCCTAGAAGTGCCTTCACTTATGGGTTTTAACGCAAAAATCAAATTTTCATTCCCTCTAACATAAGAGTCCTGCTAAATGAAATGAAGGCCTCTGACCTGCAGCCGGGTTTCTATGCTTTATTATTTGTCTTGCAGGCAACTCCTTCGCATTGAAAAAAACATTACTCTTCAAATCTACGACCCCCCTTTCTCCTTTGCGAACACGAACACAGACCCTCCCACCTATAATTTAACTCTTTCCCCGAAGTTAACAGTAAGAATCCGATGTTATTTGTTCGCACTGTCTGTGGCGTTTGTTGATCCAACCGGTTTCTGCCTAGAAGCACCCTTCACCTAGTTAGAATACAAACTGGGGCTTGCCGCAGCGGATTCCCAATGACCTTATATGGCATTGTGTCGGGAGGGGGGAGGGGTGTTTCTGCTCTAGCTCCATGGCAACCATCCAGGCAGAGCTCTCAGATTACAAATCAGCCTAGCAACTGTCCGCCTGAGTCCGCCTTCATGAACTAAAGTTTCTCCCCCACACAAGGACTGTCCACCATTACCCTTCTTTTTTTTTCTTTTTTTCCCCAGTCATACATTATGTTGGTAACCATCCTCGCTACCGGCCTTTATGTTATGTTTTAAGAGCCGGAAAATATCGAAGGAGGCGTTCGGTGAAAATAAGGGCGCAATGCTGAGCCTCACCCAGTTATGGCGCAGCAACATTTCACAGCACAGTGCTTCCCTTTTGTCTGTAAAGAAGCCATTTTGAGACAGAACTGAGAAAGAGAAACCTAACCGCCTTAAAGTGTATTTGGATGTGAAAAAACACAAGATATCCTCCCCATATTTTTATTTTTTTTGGGGGGGGAGGGGGGCTCGTGTAAGAGTTTTAAATAACTGTAAGTTTGCTATAATCAAAATAAAATATGGATTGAAGCAGATTTTTTTCCAGGTTTCTAAGTATACGTTCAGGAAAAGTAGGTGTAAATAGCTAAGAAAAATCAGTTACCTTTTTTAAAAACACATCCTTGTAGGTTTTAATGTTGTAGCTCAGTTAGAAATGTCGAAAATGGACGAGGTTATACTCGACTGCAATCCTGTCTTGAGGAAGAGAAGAGTTGGTTTTGCATATATTGCCCACACAGATGATGCTTGGAGATGCACATTCGCTGGCTGTCAGATGGGGTATGCTTGCCAGTGATGAGAGGGGGGGAAAAATGACTTTTTAAAAATGATCTGTCGTGCTAATGGAATCCCTTCCTTTCCAGGAGACGCATTCCCACCCCTTATTAAAGCCATTATTAGAGGATCCGAAGATGGGGCTGAAAACTTTCCTCCTGTCCCTGCGTTTAGGCCTGTTAACTGCTTTTCACCAAAGTGTTGAGGTAAATATTTTCACTATGAGAGATTTTTTTTTCCTCCATCGGTTTCCTATTAGATTTTTGATTGATTGTGCTTTTAAATACTACACAAAGTTGACTATCTGAATATGCTTCTATAGATATATATATATTCAGATATACCCTTGAGGCAAGGTCAGACCGTCGTTTACACTGTGGACGCGTTTGTCTCAGAAATGGCGAGTGGACGACTCGAACTTAAACGTGGTTCTGGTTGTTTCCACCGTTGCAGGTCAGGGAACAAGACGAGCCATGTTGCTGTTTATAAGAGGAAATAAATGTTTACAATTAATAAAACACAATAAAATATTAAAATCACATAAAAAATTGTTGAAAATGATATTTGTTATTCGTGGCCTCCTTTTACACCACTTTCAAAAGTCAGTGATAACATATGAAACTTTAATAGTTACTGCATGCCATAAAGGAAACAATGTTCAACAATCAGAATGTTGAATCATAAAAATTAAACTTACTTATAGCTAGTCACTTCTTAAAAGGCTATACATGAATATCAACTGTTTTCATGTCTAATTCGACATCTTTTTAACTCATAAAACAGTTTATTCAAATTTGGTTTCTTTTTACTTAACATCTACACATATTATATGGGTGTGCCATGACCTAGTTAAGACAAAGATGGATTCCAAGAAAAAAAAAAAAAAAGGCTCAAAATGTCACAGGGTATTACATCCAGTAGCTATATTCTCTTCCAATCTTCCCAATCCTTTAAAAGGAGCAAACATACGTTTTATCATAGTCCGTAAAGAGATGAGGAAACCAAGTGTAAAGATCCCTTTTTGGAACAAAGGAAACCCATATAGGCCATTGAGTCCTGTTTTAAGGAAAATGGCTGCCGAGAGAGCTCACTCAGCCCCCTCTCTCTGCTCTCTCTCTGTTGAAGGACTCGTGAGCCGTTGCCTCTAATAGCAGGCAGCTCCACCGCTGCTGGGCTCTGATTGGCCCGCCGAGCTGTCGCTGTTAACCAGCCAATTGCCCGAGCACTGCAAAACAACAGGCAATGTCAAACAAAACCTAGTTTGCTCGACAACACCATAATATATATATAATTCTGAAGAAGAGGAAATACATGTGAATTCAAATACTTTGACGAGTCACACGTGGCTGTTTGGATTAGTTTGTTAAGTGTCAACTGCTAAAAAGGGGGGAAAAAACAAACCCCCGCATTCCATTAGACACAAACGTTAAATGAAGCGTAGAATTCAGCTGCTAGCTCAACAAATTTCCCTTTAAAGTCGTGTTAAATTTACGTAAATGCAACGCGGGACTCCAAATGGGTCTGTGAAGACACCACTTTTATTATCTTTATAGTTATTTTTCATAAAAGCACCGATTTGTCTACATGGTGCTCATTTCGTGCCCGAAACAGCTTTATTAGCTTCCCAAAGCAGTTAAGAAGATATTGTCCTCTGAGTTCAGCTTGTGTTTGCCGTTTAAGTAAACCCAATCAGCAGATTCGACACTATTATTTGACGGTTCAGACACACTGGATTATCTTTAGGTTTTTATTTCCAGTAGGTTGTAATTATGTTGATGAATTTATGCGTTCCGAAATGTTATCGTAATGGTTTTTTTAGTTGGGTTTATGAAATTAATTAACCAACTTTGTAGCGAAAGTGCGTCGAGCGCAAAAAGTGGGCAAGCCTAGTGTATTGTGGGAGAGACAGCAGAGAGACCAGAGGCGCACACACACACACACACACAATATGTGCTGGCTCTCGCCGAAAAGGAGGCAGTATTCTTGAAGCGAAATCATGTAATGTAAACGGCGAAAGCAAAACGATTTCATTTTTTTTGTGTGTATTTACAAGAAAACACTCGATCGGACGAACCATGTCCAAGCCGCCGGAGAGGAACAGATTGAACGAAGACCATGGCAGAAAGCAGAGTTCAAGTAAGCTTGTTCTTTTTCCCCTCTTTCTCTGGTTCTCCTAATGCCTGTTTTTTCCGTAAGTGGGATACACGCTTCATCCAATTTTCGTTTCCCAACCTCGGTGCATATATCGTTGGGCTGTTTTTTTTTTTAAAGTTAAAGGAGGGGTTGTTTGGTCTCCTGGCTCCCGATAACGCTAGCTCTCCTCTCTCCCCGTCGCTGGCTGCCGTTTCAGGTTTGGCGAACGGCATGGACAGTCATCCCGTCTGCGGCTCGGCAGAGAAGCGGAGTCACCACTGCAGAAGTTACAAGTTGATCATCGACCCGGCGCTCAAGAAGGGATCCCACAAACTCTACCGCTACGATGGGCAGACTTTCAGCATGCCCGTAAGAACCGCCTCTGATGTGGCCAAAAGGCTACAATAGTAACCGAGGAGTCGACCTCCATGATGCAGTTCCCCCCTTTACATCTCCCAACACCTGCTTTACCAACTTATACTCAAATTCTTCTCCTTTTTTCTGCAGAACTACTTTGCAACAAGTTAATTTTGTGTAATCCTGACTAATCATTATTATCCCCAACAGAACCCTGGGATTCCACCCGTGGATCTTGTCAGGGACCCCAGAATCGGACGCCTCTGGACAAAATACAAAGAAACGGACCTACCGGTGCCTAAATTCAAGGTATCTACCGATGGGATTACAATGCCACATTGCTGCAGCTTGAAGAGAAGAGTTGCTGTCAGAAGTTGCAGACACACCCCCCTCTCTGTCATCTTTGGGAGTACACACCAATCAGGCAGTCAAATATGACCATCATGGGCATCCTGACTTGTACTGTGATGCATTATGCATTCTGACAGCTTTCTGTCTGACCCAGCAGTCATTTCTCTGCTCGCCAGTGTATCAACTAACCATTTTTGCTGTTTTTACCACTATTAATTCTCTGGATCGCTGCAGACCAGGGGTGCTTTGGTCCAGTTCTTTTAACCTTTACAGTTTGGTTTATGTCAAACTTCCTCCAGAGCCCCTTTTTCCTTTTGTTGTCTGGTTTTAAAGCATCTGCTCTAAAGCTAAAAAGGGCAACTTGATTCTTACATCTTAAAAACCAACAGGTGATGCCTGATTTATGGAGATCTGGGGGTGTGCAGAAGCTCTTATTTCATAGATGCTTTAAGGCATCTATGCTGCACTTCTATGCTTATCTCACATGGCAGAAATGACCCCCCACATAGTGCACCATTAAACTTAACCGCCCTCCTCACCGTAACCCCTGTCACTCCTCTTCCCAGATCGATGAGTTCTATGTCGGCCCCGTGCCTCCAAAGGAGGTGACGTTTGCACGGCTGAACGACAACATCAGGGAGGGATTTCTCACGGACATGTGCAAAAAATACGGAGAGATCGAGGAGGTGGAGATCCTGTACAACCCGAAGAATAAAAAGCACTTGGGAATAGCTAAAGTGGTTTTTGAGAACGTGAAATCTGCCAAGGTCGCAGTTCAGTCGTTGCACAACACGTCTGTGATGGGAAACATTATCCACGTGGAGTTGGACCCGAAAGGTAAACAGTGATTCATTCATTCAAAAGGAAGCCTTTCGGGGGGGGAGGAGGAGGAGGCTGCGTTTAGGCAGAGTAGGATCAGCTGTAAGAGGCATGAGCATGGATCTGAAAAAGTAGCTTTATGTGTCTGTTTGTTTTGAATGAACAGAATGACAGTTGTCATGTGTTTACATGTACATGTGTTGCTTGGTAACATGGGGTAATTGAATTTCATTGAAAATCAGCCCAGTCCCATAAGTCCCAGAGCTGGGGGTCTGTTATATTCCCACTGTGCATAATTTTCCACCTGAAAACAAACACTACCAATCTGTCAGTTTCCTCCACCTCTGCTCATTTCAATGGATGCACTTGTCATCTCATTGGAAATATTCTTTTTGTAATTTAAAGTTCACTTGTCTTTCAAAAGCAGTCTGCAATGCGTTTTATAGTAATGCATCATATGAAATCTTTTTTGTTTTGAGTATTTTTGCATATTTTATCACAGCTTTAATGGGAAATGTTTTTAAAGTAGCCTGGTTTTATTGCATAAGAATCATTTGCAACTTTAGTACGCCTTTGTTCATTTGTGCACCGGGTATGTGCTTTGTGTGGTTGTTTTTATTTTTTTATATCAGTATATTAATCAGCATTAAATTTATTTGAAATGCATGCATTGCTTTTCAAGTTTAGACAATCTGTGTAGTTTGCAGTGCTCCTGATTCACAGCTAGCATGCTATTTAGTGTCTCAATTACCACAGGGAAAAAAGTTTTTTCCTTCTTAAAGAGTTCCTGATCACCCTTTACTCGTCATACTGTTGCTTTCCAAATCTTGGAAAGCAACAGACTCACTAATTTTTTATTTTTTTACTGCTCTGCAGGTGAGAATCGCCTCAGGTACTTCCAGCTCCTGATGAATGGCAGCTACACACCGCGGACGCTGCCTGTCGGTGGGGAGGAGGCCAGGGAAGTCTCGCCTCGGAGCCTTGCAGAGGCATTAATGGTAAAAGAGAAATTAATCCAAAAAAATCATGTTGATAATGGTGTTTGTATGGTTACTTTAGAGGGGTGGCATGGATTGATGCTTATTCTAGCCGATGTTATCTAGTTAAATCTAAGAGGGCCTTTAAATGTAATTGATGTTGGCGGTGCGATTGGAAGTCAGCCTGTAAAGGGATGTCCTCCTGACCCTTGGTTCTAGTGTGAAATCTCAAAGTTGCTAAAAAGGGCCTTATAGTAAAGAGTTTCGTCTGCTCTGAACCTAGATGCCTGTAGCCACAAGCCATTTTCAGGTCCTCTCTTGACAGGAATGCTTCTTGTTCATATGATTTAACTAATTTTTTTCTTAAATCACTGTAAATTTTTGCTAATTAAACTTTTTTGTCTGTTTTTTAAGGCCTGTGAGCCCATTCGCAGGCTGTCGGAGGGCAGCATGTCCTCCATAGGAGCAGGATTACCACCCAGCAGCTCGACCACCCCCCTGAGCCTGGAGACGGGCTACTCTAGTATAAGGCAGGACACCCCCCAGTCCCAGGGAACCCCTCACACCCCACGCCAGCCGGGTACACCCTTCTCTCAGGACTCCAGTTACTCTAGCCGGCAGTCCACGCCGGCGTATCAGTCGAGCCGTCCCGAGAGCTCCGGGGGCTACAAGCATCGCCGCCATGAGAGCAAGTTCCAAGACGCGTACAACCGCCGGCCGGAGAGGCCTCAGTACCGCAGCAACATGTATCGGGGTACGCCGTCCGATCAAGCTACTTTCAAGCAGCAACAGCTGACGCCACCCGAGCCTCCGCCTTCAACCCCTTCCTATAACTACACAGCGCCTCTCCCGGCTACGCCGAACTTTAAGTCCGCATTCTCGCCCTACCCAGCTGCTTTGCCGCCTGCGTTTGCCCCATCAGAGTCGCCCTACCATCACCAAGCCCAGAGGGAGAGCGAGTACATCCGGCCGCCGCAGCCGCCACTGACAGCTACCACGGACACCTTGAAAATCAAGGAGAGGCCGGAAACCCCTCCCATCCCAGAGCCGCCACCAGAACCAGTAGCCCAACCCACCACCCCTCCTCCTCCTGAAACGCCAGAGCACTGCCCCTCTCCCGGCTCTCCGGCGCTGGACCCTGAGCGCAACAGCCTGGACTCTCGCATCGAGATGCTCCTGAAGGAAAAAAGGACAAAGCTGCTGCCGTTCCTGGAGGAGCGGGACTCGGACAACGAGGTCCGCATGGAGGGCAGCCCCATTTCCTCCTCTTCCTCCCAGATGTCCCCGATCCCACCTTTCATGGGCGGCTCTCAGGGCGGCCAGCAGATCTCTCGGCCCTCCAGTACGGGCTTGGAGGACATCAGCCCAACCCCACTGCCAGACTCGGACGAGGAAGAGCCAATTCCCGGAACCGCTTCTTTAATCAGGAGAACGGGCTCCCCCGTCCACGAGAAGATGGGCAAAAATGACCTGAAAGACGGAGCCTTTCGGGTCCACACTCCCACTGA